TATACAGTACAGTATAGATATGCAATAAATCAAATCTAAAATATCATAAAATAATAATAAAATATTCCACATATTATTACAAAACACTGATAATGGCATTGAATTTGGGAATGATATGAAATTTTGTAAGTCTAACCGTATGATTAATAATTAATTATATTTTTCAGAATACATGATAAAAAACATGATTAGTAACTATTGATTACTTTTACCGGTAATTATTATTCAAAACAATGAGTTAACAGTTATGAAGATATGAAAATATATGTAAATATCTAACCGATAAATACAGCGATATAATGATAGAGTTGTTGATCGCTTTTATTGTTGCCGTCGCCGAGAATCTGTCCGCCGACAAACGACCCGAACGGCTGAGCTGTTCAGTCAATTAAATCAATTCACAATTTAAATGATAGCAAAACTTCACCAAAAGCTAAGACTTACGCAACCAAAAGCACACCTCCAGACACGCGAAACGTATAGCTCTTGTCCTTTGATCACTATTTGCGGAACAGTAGGCATATGTGGACATCAGTGTCGCCACAACACCGCCAAACAGTGCCGACGGCAGGAATGAGAAGAGAGACAGGTATACGTCTGGACAGGCAATAAATACATGCGTTAATTGTGATCATAACTATAAAATACATGACAAATCATAAGCGGATAAATGACATACCGGTGTCAAAGGCGACCGCATTGATGATCAACGCCATGGACTCGAGTATAGCGCCAATACAGCCGAACAACATGATAATTTTGCGGCCGTGAATGTATTTGTCACTCCACGAGCCGATGAACAGCGACCATACGGTGCAGGGAATGGTCGATATGATCATCCGGTAAAGCGTGAGATACCCGGAATCGGTGAGTATCTGACTCTTGATGGGATCCGCGCTGTGATCAAACTCTGGCGAATTGATTTCGATGCAGTATTGCGGGGACATGTCGTACGTGAAGCGACACAGTTTGTCTTGGATCAGCTGCGAGATCGACAGCGACGACAACGAGAATGAGAACATGTAGAGGAAGAGGAAGGGCTCCACTTTCAGCTCTTTGAACACCTCTTTCCACTTATAGCCGTTCGTCGACATTGTCACCGAGTTTCAGGGGATCAGCTCTTATGGTATCACAAGTAGTAAACTGACCGCCAGTTTATAAGTACAAAAATTGAGGCAAAGTTTCAAACAGATTTCAAACAAAACTCATTTCATATGTTCAACAGTTGAGTCTCTGAGACAATGCTTACAAATGCGATGATTAAGACTTTTGTGTAATTTCTTATCACAAAAACAGTGTAATAATAGTCTCGCTTAACGTTTATCTCCAATACATATCTGCATTGTATGTTTCATTCAATTGCAAACAAAACAAATAAACGGTTTAATAGACTAATTAATAATTGATTTATAATTAATTAATAACTGCTGTCATCGACGGTGTGTTAACACAACTCATTAACAAAACACTTGTCTATAGACTGAAGGCATTTGAATGGTATGTCAGCTGTGATTGCGATACACATGTAATTCACTATTCATTTAATCACTCAATCAATACATAAAGATATAGGCATTGAATGAATGAATGAATTGAAAGCAATTAACGCTTCAATTAATCAAAATCTGGACTTAGGTTTGGAGTGAAGGCCACACCTCGTGTCGCTCACCACCACCTGATCCGCCACTTCTTCGCGCCAATCACTCACTGATTGTATGCTTTTTGCGAAACAATTAAACCATTTTTAATGATCGCTATAAACGTATTGATTGAATGCATTTAAATGACAGCAAAAACAGTCA